ATGAGTGTAGCCTGCTTGTGTGCCACGTTATGCTGAAATCGGATAAAAACTGTAGGAAGAGTAGCATTTTGAAGGTATTTCACAGAAATTTCTATTTTTAGTAACCATGGCAACACCGTTCATTGAAATCAATATCTGATACACAAAATTATGTGTCTTATTATAGTCTGTGTGCCAATTTGTATTAAAATCAGATCAAAACTGTAGGAGAAGTAGCGTTTTGAAAGTTTTTCACAGAAATTTCTATTTTTAGTAACCATGGCAACACCGTTCATTGAAATGAAAAACCGATACACAGAATGATGTATCTTATGGTAGTCTAATTATGTGCCAAGTTATATTGAAATCAGTCCAAAACTGTAGGAGGAGTAGCTTTTTGAAAAATTGTTTACAGACAGACAGATGGACGGACGACGGACACCTTACTATCGCATAAGCTCTTCTGGACTCTGACCAGCAGAGCTAACAAGCAAAGCAAAGCATTGTGCAATAGAAATTAACAGACCATTTTAAATGTTTTTTTTTTTTCTGCTCTCAGTTTTGTTTTACAAAACATGTATCAGTATCTTCAAATAGATATTTGGGGCGGGCACCTGATCTTGTTACTTTAATTCTCTGTACAATTTATGTTAATGTTCATACGATAAATCTAAAAATAACAACTAGAAAGAAAAAAAGACTTCCTTTAACACCTTTGTAAGAGGACTCTGTATCCAGATACTGTGTGAGACGATCGCATTCATTCATTTATATAAAAATGCCTAGAAATATCGATCAAAAGGGAAATGGATCATCTAACACGCTTGTTATGTTGGTCCATGATATATAATTCCAATAGTGACACCTCTTGCAGCAGTAGTTCTAGACTATTAAGAAATATAGAACCACTACTTTTTTGCAAATTTAAAGGATTCATGAAATGTCCAGATTAATGTCTCTTCAATCAACAGCCATAATCGGATATTTTCTATCTATTTTGGTTTTTGGAGTGCAATTTTATCCGAAATTTGAACACTTTATTTCTATCGCTGACACTATTTCAGACGAAATATTTGAACTCAATGAAGTTAGTTTTGTGACGTGTACGATAAAGTGCATTCTTAATTTAGCTTGTGTAGCCTTATTGTTTAATCCGCGTTTTAAAACCTGTAAAACATTACCAAAGTATATAAATAGAACTTTGTCAAACAGCTCTAAAGAATTTGAAAACTGGGAATATTACACACTTCCCTATGGTAAAGTATAAACAAATATGTGCGTATTCATCTCTGTGTTTTATTTCGTAATTGAAAAAAAACTGTTTATACCAATCATTCTGAATTTTACTTTCAGTGACCACTTGTTTGGAGCTACATGCCCTTGTCCCAGCTGTTTCAGGAGTGTACAGAATCTATCCCTGGAAACACATAAAAATACCGGTAGATGTGTACTGTGATATGAACACAGATGGAGGTGGATGGACGGTTTGTTCACAATAAACTACTGACATAATCTTGTTAACCTACAAAAACTTGATAAACTGCTAAATTACAGAATTAAGTTAAAGCACACAATCAACTTCCATGACTTATTTTTTAAAGACAAGTTGAAAGCTATTCTTGTTCAAAACTCATTTTTTTTTTAAATCTAAACGATCCAAGAACTTCAAAACTCAATTTTTTTTAAATCTAAACGATCCAAGAACTCTTCTTTTTTTTTTTTTTTTTTTTTTTTTGAAAGGCTGTGCCTGTCAAAGAAGTACTCTATGTATATACAAATCTGCCATCCTGCGGCTCAATGAAAGTCTAAATATATTATCAATTTATTTGAAATATAAAATATGGATTATAAATTTTGAGTATACACCATCGTTTTGTTCAGATAATACGCTTCGCTCATATCAATTCAAACATTTACAAGCTATAATAATTACCTGATGCGTGTCTTTACTTTTGAGAAATTGACTGTAAAATTGATCATGGCATTATATAAACTAGTATAACGAAATTAAATTTCATTCTATGTTCAGTTAGAGTATTTATAACTAGATTTTTTTGCACATCATTTTACAATGATAGATTTATTAAAAACGTGTGTATTGAAAATAAAATTTGTGTTTATTTATCCAAATTCATTTGCATTGTTAATATGTGACGTCAAAGTTTTTTTTTTTCCTGGACCTCTGCATAGGTGAATGTGCATATGGGCATTTATAAACTAGCCACAGAATCTGCATATTTCCAGTAATAATTTTGTTGAAGAACTAAAACATGTATTATGAACAGGTTTATGATCTGAATCCCCCAGCTTGTATTTGATCAGTTTTTTTTTTCGGTGTTTCACATTAATTTTGTAATGGAAAGCATCTGAATAGTTTCAGAAATATTTGCCGTTTTCAATTTCTCAGACATCTGATATTGTCAATATTTTGGTTTTCTCTCCGTAATATTTCTACATATTGCATTCTTTCTCACATATAGGCTATACAACGACGTGTTTACGGTCCTGTGCGATTCAACAGAATGTGGAGTGAGTACAAGAAAGGATTTGGATCAGCAGAAACGGAGTACTGGCTGGGTAGGTTGTGCCTGGTTTACTTAGTACAGAGAAAACTGCCTTATCAGACACTCATGATCACACAATCAAATTACAGGCTTTACAACAAAGAAGTCATCCCAGTTACTTGCAGTATCGCATATGTGCTGATTTGGACAAACAAGCACTCATTATAGATACAATGACCTTGTCAGGAAATACAATCTATCATTAAGTCAAATGCTGACTGACATTTGTCATACTAATTTTAGGCCATTATTTACAAACTGAATTGTTTACGTGTTTTTTTTTTTTCGTTTTTCCCGATCATGACAAGGAGCACACGGCGGGTGTGACCGGTCGGCAGGGAATGCTTACTCCTCCATGGCACCTGATCTCACCTCTGATGTTTTAGAGGTCCGTGTTTGCTCTGCTCCTAATTTATATTGTTTGAATGGACTTTTGAGTTTGATTACTGTTAGTTATCTCGATATTTCACGTTTTCCTTAATGCATTTCATTGAACTATTTTCCTTGTGGATTTAGAAAACATGATGTTCGTACCAAAGTGAAGCAAATTAATTATTAACTAGATATAATCATGGCATGAAAATGATATCTAAAAGAAATCTCAACAAAATTAAAATTCCAAATAATAAAGTTTAATTCAAAATAAATAAATGAATAAATTAGTAGGCTTTAATTTTCATATCTCAGAACAAACGATTACAAAATACACCGGAATAGACTGTCTCTCTTCAGGAAGAATTCCTCTTGAGCACACATTCAAAAAGCGTTCGAATTGTTCTTTCCCAAAATGTTACAACTATTATAAAAAGAAAAGTAGAAATTGAACTCGACTACACACATATATTGTTCATAATTTGACAAACATTCTAGATATATTTTGTCTAGAATTTTACACCTGCTTTGTTTGGAGTAGAAACATGATATATATATGGCAAGCCTTCATCTTTTAGAATGAAAATCAACAAAGATTTATCAATACGATTAAAATAATGGAAATTTAAAAAAAAAACGAATTCATTAATTTTAGGAAATGACATCATTCACGCTTTGACTGTCGAAAGTACAACTTCGTTGTATATTTCCATAACGTTGACTTCTGGAACAACACTGTATGAACGATATGACCAGTTCTACGTCACAGACGAGACTGATGGCTACAGACTCCACCTCGCGGGAAAAGCATCAGGAAGTCTAGGTAAGGGCATTGATATCTGAATTAAATAAGATTTTCAAATGATTTGTTGAATGACAATTGTCAGTCCAGAGGTTGTATTACCTCAGTAAGGTAAAAAATCTTGTGGACATGTAACATATATTATTCTATGTAATCATTGTGCTGTAGAATCATTTGAGCCTGTAGGAATTGAAATTGCATCCATTGCTTACATTTTATTACAGTTTTTCTAAGAAAAAGTTATTATTTCACGAAATATTTAAGCTTGAAATGCTTAAATATTATTTGTGCGACATATTTCTTTTCAAGTTTCTTAACATGATCGAATGTAGTTTGAATGCCTTCAAAACAATCTTGTTAATATTTAATATTATCTCCTATTAAAAGGGCAAGCAATTTACATTTTAATGAAATTGAATTCCCTTTCAATCGGCCTATCAAACAAATGCTTACTGGCTTGAAATTAAGTTGCGATCAATTTGTGATATCTTGCTAATTATACACTGACAAATATGAAAAACGTTAACGTACCTGTATAATAAATAGAGAAACTTAAATGCAAGTAAGTATAAAAAGGCATTTTCTATATATATATATATATATATATATATATATATATATATATATATATATATATATATATATATATATATATATATATATATATATATATATATATATATATATATAATTAACAAAGATAGAGAAAAGTTGCAATTGGATTTGAAACTATGGCAACAACAATAAAACAATCCTTGCTTTAGTCCCTTGTTGTGACAAGTTTAGTTGTACTTGGACAAAATTTATAGTAAGAGTAGCCTTTGGAAAGAAATTCACAGAAATATATCTTAAAGGCAATACCCTTTATTAAAATCAAACACTAATAAAAAGAAAAAAAAGATTATGTATCTACTTGAATATGCAAAACGTTTCACTTGATTCAGATTAAAACTGCCGGAAAAGTAGCATTTTGAAAAAAACAATTTACAGAAAATTCTGTGTTTGGTAACCATGGCAACCCCGTTCACCGAAATCACCGAAGTCTAATTGTGTATCAAGTTATATTGATATTGGACCAAATCTGCAGGGGGAGTAGCATTTTGAAAGAACTTTACAGAAACTTCTATTTTTAGTAAGCATGGCAACCCCGTTCATCCAAACCCTAAAACAATAATGGAAATTATGTATCTCAGTGTAGTCTAATTGTATACGAAGTTAAGTAGGGCTCCGCGTAAAAATCATGCAGGTAGCACAGAAAAGGCGCTACATCGATAATCTGCAAATTCATTAAAACTGAGTTTAATATATTCATTTGGGTCTAAAATGAATGATAACGAATGGATTTGTTATAATTCTTCTTTTTTCATATAGCTAGGGATAGGGTACTCCAGGGGTAATTTTGTATGGATAGTGTGTAAATAGTGCATATTTCAGAAAATAATTTCTTCTAAACCCAAGAAGATGTATAAAATCTAAACACATAATTACAGTGAAAATAGAAAGTGTAAATTAAATTTACTCTAATATTTTTGTGCAAACAAAGGATTGAAAAGATACAGGGTGTTAAAAATCTGGAATTTGTGAAGATTCTTCGTATGAGTTATCTCCCTTAGGAAATTTATATAGGTGGCGGTAGTAAAAAAAATGGCGGCCTCCATGAAAAGCTGTACTCTGCAAAGTTATTTTGATGCATCATGTGGTGTTCATTGCAAATATCTGTGTGAATTGAGTAAAAATGATTGAAAGGAATTTACAAGAACAGATTGGACATGGAGCTCCTGTAAATTAAGAGGACAAAAAATCCGTGAAACGAAAAAGTGTAGCTTGGGAATATTACTGTCATCGTGTTGATAAGGGTATCAGCAATTTTCCTTATTACTGACATCAGTATGGTCTATGTCGGAAGTTTAGCTTCTAAGTTAATCCACCAGAATCCAAGAGTAAGCCCTCAGAGAGGAGTTGCAGTCCGACTGTGTCAGCATACTCAACTTGGAGAGGGAAGATAATGTACCGGCGCCACCGGTACATTTGGACAGCTGTTTGAACAGCTTGATAGGTAGGATTTAATTTAAATTTACTTCTTATGTATGGTTATTGATATTTTATACAGTAAAGTATGTATTTGGAAAATTGTTGGGGATGGCCAGTTCCTACATATATCAATATCATGTCCATTTTGAAAAAAATGACATCTTACACATATATATGTTTGAATAATGTTACTGTGTCTTGGGACAGGCCCTGACCACAGTTAGAATGCCTTCCATATTCTCGCAATGTGGCAGAAAATGGTGGAAACACTCTGAAATGATTTTGGAGGAAATAAATGAAATTGCATTGAAAAATAAGCGTCAAGTTAATAATAACAAAGTTAACCTTTTTTTGTCACAGGGATACCTTTCACCCCCAAAAATTAATCCATATAATGTAAGAGTTCAACACTTTTTGTCAAGGTTTTTTTACACGATTCAAATTTACATGCCATGTTGACAGTCAGAAATCTCTGAATTATTCAGAGTAAATGCATTGACCAGAGTTAGTTATGACACGATAGCTCAGTGTTTTGTATTAGCCAACTATTCTGTATCTAAAATACAGCACAGTCTAAAAATAAATCTGATTCAATTTATCAAAAGCAAGTACAAATAGTACCGTAAATGCTGAGTTTTATCTTATTATAAAATTTGGAGAAATATATCCCTAGCAATGTAAAATATCAAAATTTCTCAATTTTTAAAAAATTATTCCACACAGAATCTACACGTTATTTCGATCCAAACAAAAAGGAAAATTCGCAGTTATGGAAAGCATCCTATGTTTAATAAATTTCTGAAAACCTGTTTGCTTTCCCTGCTTTTTTGGGGTCCCCTCCAAAATAGTTAAGCCAATGGGTTCACGGGTGCAGCATACATTATGTGAACTTCGCACAGTCACCCCCCCCCCCCCCCCCCCCCCCCCCGCATTTTCCACTCTTCTCGTGCAAACTCATTCAAGTCCATTTTGAGCATTTTTTTTTTTACATTTCATCTTAAATTCTTATCGCTGATGACTGCTGCACATCTCTTTCTCTTCGTTTTTAAATTTAATGTCGCATTTCAATAAGAAAATAAAAATTTGTGACATCAAAGTTCATTGAAGAACTGTTTGTATCGCCTGCATGTGTATCTAGTTAAACTGAGATTTTAAGACCCCTGAAATAAATTAGGATCAGTCTCCATCTACGGCAAGGTTAAATTGTCCACCTTATCAATTAAGACAACGTCTCCCCCGTTTTCAAAACTAATCTGACTAAATCTTACATTGTCCATGGAAATATATATCTACTGCGGAGGCATACTCCCCATCAAGGCCTCATCTACAGAGAGAACAAACAAACACTGGCAGTAGTTTGAATGCTGCACAGCTATAAAGTGGGCGGTGCTTTTTCTTGATTGATCATGTCACAAATCATTTAGAGAACTCGACAGGTTCTGTATCGTAGATACAAATCTGGGGGCGGAGACTAGTGCTATGCACTCGTCCACCCCCAAATTTGTATCTACGATACAGAACCTGTCTCATTCTCTAAATAATACTTATTGCCCGGTTTGTTTTGCTACATAACATTGCTAATACACATTCTTTCATTAAACCGGGTCTGTAGGAGAATATCATCTTAACAATAGAACATTTTATCATCATATAAGTATGGAACATTGTCTGTGCTCTCATCATTAATCAATACATGTCCCATACAACAACCATTATTTAACGTGACCCAAATTTAAGGGATTCAGTGGGAAGGCCCGAGCCATTAGCTTAAAAAATTCTTTGTTTGCAGTTGCCAACCTATAATTTTTAGAGTGGATACGTAGGTTTTTTTTTTTTTAAAAATAAGTTATTTTTCAGACTTTTATTAGATAACAAATTATAGAGATATTCATACTTCAAGGCTTACTTAACATAAATAAGCTTCACTTGATAAAAACAAAAATAAAAAATAGAACATTTTCAATATCCTGAAAAACTGAAATTTAACAAAAAATAATACCGGTAATACAAAATGGCTGGAAAAAAAAGTTTGGGTCGGGTGCATTTTCAGTGCATGGGTAGGCAACTGCAAACAAATTAATTTTTATTTTAGGCCCCAGGTTTATGGTAATTCAAATTGAAAATGAACATGTAAATTTTACTAATTAAAAGAAGTATATGCTTTATGTGATAGGTTTTGATTTTTTAGCTCACCGGAGCCAAAGGCTGCAGTAAGCTTTTCTGATCACACTTTGTCAATTGTCTGTTGTTGTTCCAGGTGTCATTGTCATCTTTGTTCATGTTGTTTAAAACTTTTCACATTTTCATCTTCTTCCAGAACTGCATGGCAAATTTCAACCATATTTGCCACAAAGCATCCTTGGATGAAGGAGATTCAGTGTTGTTCAAATGAAGAGCCTTGCCCTCTTTCAAGGGGAGATAATTAAAAATTAGTTAAAATTTAATGAATCTTTCAAAAATCTTCCTCTCAAGAACCACTGGAACAGAAAAGATGAAACTTATGTGAAAGCTTTATTACATAATGTAGTGGGAAGTTTGCTCGGATCATGACCCCAAGGGATATGAATTGGCCGCAATAAGCAATCAAAGTTACATATAGAAATATATATGTAAAAAACTTTATCAATCTTTTTCTCATGAAAAACTGGGCCAAAAGGGTTGAAACTTTTGTGAAAAGTAGCGGTAGCATGGGGCTTTAAAAATGTAGATACTAGGTAACAATCTTTAGAAATCTTCTTCTCAAGAACTAGACATACTGGTAGTATAGGGCCACAATGGGGGATCAAAGTTTCACACTAGATAGTGATAATTCTTCTTTTTAAGAACAGCAAAGCCATGATTAGTCGTACAGATACATGTATATATTGAAGAATCCTCAAGTAGTGTAGATTCAAATCTGTTGAAATCATGAACCCCTGGGATAGGGTAGGACCGCAATGGGGATCAAAGTTTTACATATGAATATATATTAGAAAAATCTGCTGATGAAGATATTGACTCAGGTGAGCATTGTGGCCAATGGGCCTCTTGTTTGCTCTACCCATGTCAACATGGCACTAGTCAGAAATGATAACTAAATAACAAAATCAAGTATGGACAGAAAAAAAAATCAACCAAGATATAAAAACCACCAAAAAGCTTGATTTATTTAATAAATATATAATTTTTCAGACAAGGCTGTTTATGCACATTTTTTAACATTACTGATGGTATAATTTGTAAAAGATATATCACTGAAAATTCTATTAGTCTTGTCAAGCTATTGCTGACTTACATTTTTACTGGCCCAACATTTTTAATCAGGCTAGTGTATTTGGAAAACAGTGTACTGTGCTTTGGAATCACCAGGTAAATTTAATTTAGGGTTGTTAAATAGGTATATTTAGTTGTCTTTATACCTAATCTCTCTCTCTCTCTGTATGTCATATTGCATATAAATCTAGATGAAAAATATTCCTTGTTGTTTTTCAGAATGATCAAGAACTTGTTTGACTGAAGAGATAGAATGAAAAGGGAAGACCCAAAAGTGTTTTATAACAGGTACTGTGAGAGTACCGGGTATTTCATTTTGTAGTTTTAATTTAATCAGTAGCAAGATTATAGAATTCATAACTGGTTACAGTTTAAATTGTAATATGGTTAAAACCTGAGACATAAATGATAGAAAATATGGTAAAGATATTTTACATATTTCATAAGTTACCGGTAGTAATTTGAATTATATACTTTTGAAATGAAACCCTATATCATTTTCACAGAATGCGCAAGATGGTTTGCATCATGGTTATGAAGGAAAAGCTGACAGTATTTTTGAGACAGCAAGAAAAACATCATTGCACACCACCAACTAATAAGACTCCAAAGGTGGGGGACCACATGCCATGCACATGCAACCATTTGAGATTTTACATGAAATTACTGCATTACATAAACTTGAGATTCCATGTAATTTATAAATTTAAAAAAACCCTTTAATACCTTTAAATCAATGTAGAACAATGAGTTTTAATTTGGTAAATGATAATTATATGTAACTATTATTTTAGGAATAACAAAGATTAGAGTTCAAAGAATGCTGGTACTTGGATAAAGATAATCAGGCATGGACTTTCATCTCCCATGGATCTTCAGCACCTTTAGGTTACAGTTTTATATTTCACTAGAAGAGACTCATAAATAAACGAAGGACAGTCAGTTACTACAAAAGAGAAGCATCGGAGATTACTGATATTTTGTTCAGCATTATTTCATCTTAAAAGATGTAAACTATTAAAATTTTGTTTACATCTATCAATTAATGATTTTGATACATGTACCAGTAATTAATAATTTTGATGTGGGATAAACTGGTAAAATTGAATGGAAAAGAAGCAGATGACTTGGTAATGATGTGTAAAAAACATCATTCATTTAATTAATACATGTAATTGCATGCAGTTAAAATTCGACCAAAATTCTTGTGGTGTATATTGAAAGGTGTAACCAAGAGGGAAACATAAAATGATTTTCATATTATCATTAAAATAAAAGTCAAGTTGTATATTATACAATTATTTCTGTTTTTGAGGTCATTACAATGGTTTGGCTTGCCTAAATGTATGCATTCACCGATCCTAAAGAAGGAAGTAAATATTGTCCCTCGATGGTTGTTGGATCAATATATTAACACCCTCCCCCCCCCCCCCCCTAAAATAAATAAATAAATGCAATTTCAATTTTTGTATAATACCCTATGTATCATACCCAAAGGGTATGGTGTGTGCGAAACAAGCGTGACCTTTTGATTTGCATTGGCTGTTGGACTTTAAAAAGAACTTATAGGCTGAAAAAAACCCTCAAAAATGGGATATGATACTGTTTTTGTAAATATGGATTATCTCCCTTTTCAGCTTAAAATTAGAACATTTTACTGGTCATGAAAATATTTTGATTAAATGAAAAGTAAAATTGTGTTGTATTTCAAATTAGAAAATTGAGAAAAAATTTTTGAAATGTCAATTTATTCTTACATGCATACCTGGTATATATTCATGATATGTGTATAGGGCATAGTTATTGTACTGTGACAAAAAAAGGGAAATTGCCATTTTTTATATGAAACTCATCAATCGTTTTGGGAAAATAATAATCATTTGCGCAAAAATGTTTTTATTATTTTATTTGCTATAGGGTATGGTGTCTATGAAATTAGCATGACCTTTTGGTTTGGCTGTTGGGTTTTTTAATTTTTTGATAGCTGAAAATCCTCAAAAAATTGATATTTTGCTGTTTATGTCAATATGGATTATCTCCCTTTTCAGCTTAAAATTGGAACATCTTACAGGTCATGAAAATATTTAGATTAATTAAGATAAGTAAATAATTGTGTTGTATTTGAGTTTGGAAATGTAAAGAAATTGTGTTGAAATGTCAATTTCCTTTTACATGCATACAAATATGGCATATATTGGACTGTGACAAAAAAAGGGAAATTGCCATTTTTTGAATGAAACTCGTCAATCATTTTGGAAAATAATAATCATTTGCACAAAAATGTTTTAATTATTTTATTTTCTATAGGGTATGGTGTCTATGAAACTAGCATGGCCTTTTGGTTTGGCTGTAGGGTTTTTTAATTTTTTGATAGCTGAAAATCCTCAAAAAATTGATATTTTGCTGTTTTTTCCAATATGGATTATCTCCCCTTTTCAGCTTAAAATTAGAACATTTTACTGGACATGGAAATATTTTGATTAATTATGAAAAGTTACTATTTGAGCTGTATTTGAATGAGAAATAAACAAAAATGTGATTTATTGTCTGATTTTCTTTTAATTTCATATGAAATATTGATATTTTTGCCTATTTTTAGAGGAAATTTCAGCCATATTTTACCGAAAACAGTTTAACTGTTGCCATGGCAACCAGACACAGAATTGATAAAAAATCATTTTATTTTTCGTAGTATCTTAGCATACCCTACCAACATGCAAAGTTTGAAAAAATTCTGAAACCCCCCATGTATCACCCCCTGCATGATTTTTACACGGAGCCATACTTAAATTAATTCAAATTGGACTAAAACTATAGGAGGAGTAGCATTTCAAAAGTTTACAGACAGACGGACCTTACTATCGCATAAGATCTTCTGGTTTCTGACCAGAAGAGCTAAAAACATAGTAGTTTATTTTTAGGAAGGAATGTGTGTGAGCTGGGTGGTGCTACAATGTACCCTGTATAAATATGTCATTAAATCAAACCAGTTTGGGTATTATAAAGGAAAAATTTATCAAATTATGTACAAATTTCAGTGTAAAGCTATTACTTTTAAATTTATATAATAATGAATATGTATAAATTTAACAACATTTAATATTACATGGTTCTTCGCTTTGATGAATGATGAAAAGGTGACAAATCACATATCAAACCAATGTGCTTTAAGCGTGAAAATTGACTCACTCATCATTCATTTATAATTTTAAAATTATTTAAAGTTAATAAAGAATCATGGGAAAAACATCGCTTAGTCCTTGTAAGGGGTATATACATGTAAGAAGTTCATATTTAATTTTAATATCATTTAGCAGTTTGATATATATCGGATCTCCCATGATTTGTGGTTGGATATGATTTTTATCCAACTCGTTGTGTGCTTTTTATCTCCGAGCCTTGACGAGGGGATAAAAACACACAACGAGTTGGATAAAAATCATATCCAACCACAAATCATGGGAGATTCTCTTTATCACATGTTTTATACATCACTTTCTATGTATAATATGAATCTACACTATTTACTTCATCATTTTCACGCGAAACCCATTGTTATCCAATGAGTGATATCCACGGGATAAAGGGTTAAACACGTGATAAATATCTACATGTAGCAATTTTTAAAAGAAAGCAATGATTACAATTTTATATTGTAATAATATCAGTCATACCAACATCAAAATTTTATAATTATACAGGGGACAGTATGAGGGATTCCAATTATCTCTGGAACGTCAATGGAATGAAATTCTCCACGATAGAAAGAGACAATGACGCCTGGTCAGTCAGACGCTGTGGATATGAGTATAGATGTGCATGGTGGTTCAATTCTTGCGGAAGGACATGTCTGAATTCAGATGGATTTCATTTTGCACCCTGGCCCCCACTGGTGTCTAACAGAACACACATCAGTGAAACACTAATGATGATTAAATAATAAAATCATGCTATAGAGTGAACTAGAGGACAAATGGTTGTACGCCTATATATGCATGAACAATTGAATTTATAAAGATTCTGAAAAATTAGAAATTATTTCCGTGAGTTAATTTTTTTTTAAATCTGTATAGTTTAATACTGATTTTCTTCACATGCACCGTATTATTTTAACTAAAGCAGTACAAACAATTATTTCATATGCCTCTGAGTAAATTTCACATACAAAATGTATTCAAGATATACCCTTCAAGATGTATTTTGTTGTAAATGTAGGTCTTTTGACGTTTCTGTAGAAAGAGCTCTGGAAATTGTGCTTTTATTTATTATAATTTTCCGCCTCATGACTGTTTTCTTCCTTCACAATTCATTGAAATGGTTTATAGCTCATGATAATGAAATTGCAGTTGACACTGTATATCTGAATTATGAAATTATTGCCCCTTGCACTTTAAATCTTATCACTACAAAACCGTAAAAAGATACCAAATCTCCACAAATGTCCTTGACTTATGTAAAGACTTATGTAAAGATCTGACTTATGCAAAAGATTCATCGCCGCCTTTTACTAAATAAAAATAAACAAGCAATTAAATAAGCAATTAAAGACAGATGTTATCGAATGTTAAGATCCTCCAAAATATGAGATATATTTGTCCTGGTTTCAAAGAGGAAAATGAGTATATAATTATATTATGTGCTCAGTTTTGTTTTCAGCAAATTTTTAATTCTCTTTTTCAAGAAATATTTGAGGAAGGAATGTAATCTGACATAAATTATTTTTAAATTGATGCATAGTGGTCATGTGTTAAGTCTAAAGATATTCACTTCACGCCTTTTTAATGAAATATGAATATAACGAACAGTATTCAATCTCGAAAGTCCAATGAAACAATACAAATTTGGATCAGAGCAAACACGGACCTCAAATTTTAGAGGTGGGATCAGGTACAATGGAGGAGTGAATATCCCGTGCCGACCGGTCACACCCGCCGTGTGCTCTTTGTCATGATCGGGGAAAATACAAAGGAAAAATCAATAGACAGTTCAGTGTATCAATAATGGCCTAACAATTAGTATGAAAAAGTCAGTCAGCATTTGACTCAATGATAGCTTGTATGTGTTGACAAGATCATTGTATCGACCGTAAAACGCGCGAAAAGATGATTTCAAAAGGGACAGTTGATATGCTTGTTTCATCAACTTGTCTGTCAATAGCTTGCCTCGTTTTAGAAATTGTTTATACGTAGAGCACGCTGTTGCGTATCGGATCAACTGAGAAACATGAACCCCAAATGCGGGTGATAAGGTATAATGCTACATAAGTAAGGGAAGCTGACAATTGAAAAGTTGAAGTCATCACGTTTATCATAAAGCTTTGTTGTTAGATTACCATTAACGTCTTTTTGTAGTAAAATATCTAAATATGAAACAGATGTGTCAGAATCTGTGGTACATTTATTTCGAGCTCACTGGGATATATCGAGTCGGCATATGAATGAAAGTAACTATTGTTAATTGATAATACGTCGTCGATATATCGAAATGTCGAGTTGAAGGCCACAGCAAGTGTTTTCTTCCTCTCATGTAGAAGTTTTTGAATAAATTCTGCTATATATGAATACAAAAATAGGTCTGCTAATAAGGGGGGGGGGGGGCAATTGGTACCCATGGGAATTCCAGCAGATTGTTGGAAGACATGATCTCCAAAAACTACATAGATATTGTCAATCAGAAACTTGAGCATCTTTTTAATATCTTCTTCAGAGTACCTGTGTGTACAATCAGAGTGCTTTTTAACAATATAATTTTGTGAATGACCAATGGGAAGATTAGTATATTTACGAGCTCCATTTTTATTGAAAAAGCAGCTGTCTATCATGTCAAAAAGCCTGGACTTCAATTTATCTTGGGGATTGGTTGTATATCATGTATAAAGTGTTGAAAAAGTCGTACGTTTTGATGCTATTGATTTTAGTAAAAATTTTTGATTTCAAATTTTCCAAAAGTTCTTTGGAGTTTTTAAGTATCCACATCTGATTTAAACCACTTCTCGAATATACTGTTGTACAGTACTCCTGAAGTTTCTCCTTCATTATAGCAAATATTTTAGTCAGGAGTAAAGAAAGAGGCTTGGTTGAACATTTACTGGAACCCGCTATGTATCTTTGTTTGTAAGGATTTTTATGAAGTTTAGGAGTCCAGTAAAGGTAAGGTAATTTAGATTCATTTTGATTGTTGGTAATATTAAAAATATTTAAAACGGACATATGATTTTGAAGAATTTCTTCCTTAGAAAGGGAGGTATGGGTGTAAGTTGGATTTCCACCCGTAGAATTAAATCCTAGTTCCTTTAAAATACAATTCAAATAATGAGCCTTACAAACAAAGACTATGTTCTTACCAACTTTGTCCGCTGGGACCAGTACATACTGATAAGTAAGTCCACGCCTTACTCTTGTTTGTTTGTTTGTTGTTTAACGTCCCTCTCCAAAACTTTTCACACATATGAAGATGCCACCACTTGCCGGTGTAGGGCTGCAAATTTATACCTATACTCGGCACTC